AAGTATGCGATATATACAGCTAGCTACAGTTTAGTCAATTAGGCTGTCATTTTAAAGACATTATGACAGTAATAGTACAGCCAGTATCAGAGCTACCAATACACTAACAGTAACTCCATTAGCAAGAACTGAAGTAGAGCCAGAAGGAGTTGGTCTGCAAGTAGCTGAAGGAGTGGCTGAAGGAGTGACAATGGGAGCAGCTATAAAATAATATGAATCAATAAACTATATATATATATATATTTATATGCATAGGCATGTACCTCTAGAGCATTGCAATACTAGGTCCATTGTACCAGCTAAACACTGTTGATTATTTGATGATAAAGCATCACAATCATCAACAGTATTAGCATTAGGAGGACAAGAGAAAGAGGAATAATAGGCTGTACCTACTGGAGCAGTGCCATACACTGAAGAATCATGTGGAAGAGTAACACTAGCTAATGATAAAGATAAGTATAGAATACTGTAATAGTAATTCCATATACTTACTGTTGTCAAATCCCATTGATTGGCATAAGTAATTCAAACCTGCTTGGGTGTGAGATCCATCATTACGGAGAGAAGCATAGAATGCTCCATCAACACAGTAAAGTGGTATACCAGAGACTATCTCACGTCCATTGACTATTCTTGTCATGTTATTATGGAGATACAGTTTAGACCCATTACAAGGTACTGTAAATGAAAAAAAATTGTAATAGTAAAAATAATATTATTGATTTACTTCCAGGAGAGCATCTTAAAATAGTTTCCAACTGTCCAGTGTAACACTGTGGATTAGTGGCAAATGATGAGTTCTCATCACAATTCTCATCACCGGAACACGTAAAGTTACTCAAATAGATTATCCCCTGGGGGGACCCACTGTACAGGGTCTGGGCAAGACTTGAATTTGAAGGAAGGAGATCACCAACTAAATATAGTAAGATAAGAATGACCGGAGGGATTGATGTTAGCTTACATGCAAATCCAGCTCCTCTGCAGAAGATTAATCCATATCCAGGATAATTAGTGCCATCATTGCATACCCTGGCATATGTTCCCCCAGCACAGAACTGTGGTATCCCAATGTGATAGTTAATGCCATCAACCACAGTTGTTTGATTGTTGAATAGAGTAGAGTTATCAGAATCAGCACACACTGAAAAGAAATGAGAGTGTACTATTGCAAGTGGGGAATGATCATTTATACCTTTCTGACATGTAACAATTGCATATCCATTAGGACAAGAACCCATCACACTGTTACCAGAGCAATTGAGATAACTACCAGGACAACTGAACTGGTTAGATACAGTGTTATTGAAACGTAGAGTAGGAGGAGGAACAGTAACACCAGAAGGAGCTCCATTAAACCCACCTAAAGAAGACTAAACACTATTAGTGCATGTACATCAATTAACCATTCAGTACTCCTGTTGTATATGCACAAAAAGCTAATCTCTCTATTGGCCCAATGTTCACACTGCTGCATATTGGAGTGAAGTTACCATTATTGCAGGTAACAGGGTGACCAGTTAGGTAATAGCCACCAGAAGGAATGCTTGTATTAATCGGATTATTCAGCATCACTTGTGATGGATGATAGCATTCTGGTACAGCTACAGAAAGATAACACAAGCTCATATAAAAGTAAAATTAAGCATAGTGTTACTTACGTATGATGCATTTAACTGCTAAAAGTCCCCCATCAGAATTACAATTAGCTTTTGGTCTCCCAGTACATGCATCAATACCTGCTGAACAATCAATATCACCAAAAGCAATAGGATTCATCATGGAAGTAGGATAGTCAGTGGTTACAGTTCCTGTGGCTTGTAGAGCAGCTAGAGAATGTAAAAAGAATACAAAACAAGCATAGACCATAAGTTATGATACTATGAGCTTACGGAATGCACTACTGACAGTACCGTAAACCTCATTATAGAAATCCTGGCACACTAGGTTAGCAATGGAGTCATCAATTCCATTAGCACAGACATCACCAGTTGTTGAGCTATAGGTAGCTTCTAATTGAAGTCCTACTGTAGCTGTGATATTGTCCGTTTCATAATGAATATAAATGAACTGGATATTCTGAGAATTAGCAAAGCCTGAATGAGAGTAAAAGAGTTGAATAACTGACACACTATAGCTATAGGATATCATTACCACTCAATAGTAATAGAACCAGTATTGAGAGAGGGTCACTGTACTTCATTCTTACACTTTTAAAGACACACAATAACTCCAATTACTAAAAGAAATGCTTAAAGTTCAAATAATTGCAACCACTGTATGACACTGGAACTAAACTCACAACATGAATATACTTATGATCTATGTGTGATCATCATCTGCAAACCTCCCCCTTGATTAGTCTCAAGTGGCCAGACTCCACCCCTTTTTGTCATTTGGGTAGGCGGGATGGAGAGTCTGGCTACATGAGACTACTCCTTGATATATTAATGAATAATTATGATTATTAACGATTCATGTGTATGCACTGCACATGCAGAGTGCCCAATAGCAAACTATTTATTCATCAATTATATTATACTTATAATTCTAAACAACAACTACACCATGTGTCTGAGATATGCCTGTGAATAACACTATAGCTGGAATATCATTACCAGTCAATAGTAATAGAGCCAGTACTGATGATAGAGAGTCACTGTACTTCATTCCAA